ATTGGTTCGTTAGAGGACCAACACGCTATTGCGATGCCAGAATCAGATGGACGACGTCGGAAGACTCCATCTGAGGTTGCAGAGGCACTCTCACGGACAATATTCCCAGATCCTGAGTGTGTAAAGGACAACCTTTTGGAATCCCTAGGTGATACTATCGACGATCAAGGCGGAAAGCCCAAATGGGTATGGAAAGATATGAAGGGGGGATATGCAGAACTTCTACGACTGCGCAGGATCCAGGAAGATTACGCCACCATCCTTGATTCAAAATTGCATGAGTACTCAGCCAATCTTCCGCACAAGGAGACCTTCGAGGAACAATTAGATGCTCTCGCTACACAAATGGTAGAAAGAGAAATAAGGTCAAAATACCAAGAGTCGGAGTGGTACCGAGAAATCTGGATGGCACTCACAAGGGCCTCCGACCCTTCGAACTTCGATCGAGTACAGGTTGCTAGATTAAAGCGATGTTGCAATAATTCTGAGGTGATCGGGGACGATTTATTTTTTCGGATGATAGGGGTGCGGAAGAAGTGTGTAACACTCCAAGGATTCTCGGAAGTAATTCGAAATACTCTGGATAAGAAAGGTCGATGGAAAAGCTGCGAGGAAGAAACTTCATCCAGTGTATTGAGGACTCTTGGATGTGGCTGGCTATGGTGGCTCCCATGGAAAATCTTACCTTTTAAGTCTGATTAATGAGAATGATACACCGAGAGCCTGATACGGGGACCAACTCAAGTTATTTAAACTTCGGGAAAGTCTTTTAATCACTGTTCGAGAAGGAAAAGCACCTTTTTATCAGAATCTTCTGTGCAGGATCAGCAGGCCATGAATTACCTGTAGCCGTCGTAATCGAGGACATGAAATGGAGTGGAGATAGCTAATTGCAGCTACTGGAATTTCTATGGGATTCCATAACTGATTTTGGAAAATGGATTTATGTTCGGTGTTTAAATCTTGCCATTACAGGAACACTTTTATGGTCTGGAGAGAGTTATGGATAGACTAATTACCCTGAAGTCCATCATGATATTCAGAGTATGTGGTTTATTCACTACGTCGAAAGAAGTTCTATAATCTTGTTAGTAACCAGACAAACTTTTAGAGTGGAAACAAAAGGGATAACAGTACTCGAGCTATCTGCACATTGTCGAGGACGACAAGTAGCTGCTACGGGACTAGAGATGTATCGGGTTACGTAATGTGGTTATGTAATTAGAACTAGTAGTGCGCTGGTCGTGTATTTAAGCATCGCGGATAGAAAACAATAGAGTACTTGCGACCTCCCATAGCTCCGAACCCTAACGTATTTCTGGTGGTGTTCACTTGTATAGTCTGAGTAGCCTGAGCACCTACTCCACTTGGGAAGGAGACATCTCAGATCACATTTCGCGCGGAGAAAAGTTGATGGATGACGGAGGCATGTCTGGATAACTCAGGGTTTTTGAGACGTTCCCCTGAGTGGGTATTTACGGATGAGGGTTGACTTGGGGTGAAGAAAAAGCCACCATAACTTCGCAGTGGTACTTGCAAATGAAATCCGAGGCATGAGTGCTCTTCTTTACGATGAATCATCTATTCTGTGCTTTTCTTTGATATTGTGTCATAGCTAGATAGCTAGATAGCTGCACACGCAATTCAAATCTGATGCAATACAGAAATAAAAAAGACTCTACAGTGAGAGCTGGAGGTTCGTAGGGGACACCACTGACAGGTGTTGAGATTAGTCCCCGAAGCCCCATTAGAGCAACGGTGCCCTACTGACCAAGACCCGAGCTCTATATAATTTAACTTAAATTCCTCCTTGCGGGTATATATCATCGTGACTTTACACTGAGAGATGGCCAATTTTTGAAGAGGCAAATTGCCGATGGCACCTGGAGTAACGCAAGGCACAATATGAGTTGTCGCGAAAATTATCGGTTCATACTTGTATGGCGTCTGTATATCATGAGATTTAGAAAGAGGACCTAGCTCCGTTCTGGGGGGCCATTCTTAACATCTTTGTCACGCTGTCGCCCGCAAAGACAAATTCTTCACCTTCCAGTGGTGCCGGTGTAATCGCTCGGCATACTCTGCATATCTGGGATAGCCAAGAAAAATCGCATACAAATCGAAGTCGAAAGCACTCGCAAGCACATCTAAAATCGACGACTCATCATCAATGTCGGACCTATCATTCTCACGCGAGTCCTCCACCTCAATCTTACCACACCACCTCGCCCCAAATACCGATAATGGCGTTACTCCAATTGCAATCGGGCGTTTGCCTCATCAAAAACTGGCCATCTCCTACTACACATTTACGATGCTATGTAAACCCGCGAGGGGGAATTAAAGTCATAATCTACAAAGCTCGGGTCTTGGACTATGAGGGACCGTTGCTCTAATGGGGCTTCACATCTTGAGGGAGGACAAGCAGCTGGGACGTGGGACGAACGAGTGAAGATATGACAAATGTGCATGCTGGGACGCACATTTTTCGTGTGTGTTCGACTTAATTGTGTTTGTGGGCGCAGAGGCAACGATTTTGGATAATACAACCGACACTCTAAAAATGGGCAACGATGGAAGGTTTTTTGGTCCGCCTCCTGGTCGTCATCTCCCAGAATTAAAGTCTGGGTGGCCTGGACACCTACCTCACTCAGGAAAGGGAGGACTGTGAGGCCTTATCTCGCGCGGTGGCTATATACAAGATGGCAAAGGCATGTTAGGGTAACCAAGGGTTTCTCCTCTTTTCCATTTGGTGGATATTAATGGTTGAGGAAAGGGTGAAAGTCCCTAGCACCAAGGTCTCGAGTGGTATTAGAGAATGCACCCACTATATGAGTAGTCCAAATTTCAAACACAATTATTGTCGTATATAGTCGCCGGAGAAGCTAGTCTTCTCCGTGTCATGCTCTATGACTGCTAGACTTGTGCCAGTCACGATTAAAAATCCATCTATCTACTTATTCATAGTGATCAAACCTTGAGCTCTGAAAATAATACTAGTAAAGGCGGGTCGCAGAAAACACATTTTGCAGAGTGACAATTAACCGTCGCAGTCAAGAATAGTTTGATAGATTTAAGAATTGAACCACAAGTCACATGGACATTGTATACGACCAATGTCTCATGCAAATATGTTATAGCTGTTTGTGATTTCGGTTTAATTTAGTCGTAATTGTTTCTAGGGAGCACGATTACCTATGTAGCACGCTGAATGGTAATATCTCTGACTTTGAGTTATCCGAAAACCCCATTTCTCGCCTCGTACACAGTTACTGCGCCGAATACAGTCGGATATTGCTGGGATCAAACAAGCCATCTCCTTATCTGAGTGATATAGGTGCCCAAACATTTGAACTCTTCTAGAAGATCTAGACGGAAAATGTACCACTGTATCATCGTTCTCTACCAATTAGCGTGATTTCATTAGCCCGCTGCTATCCTGTGATTGATTTTCCGTACGACCTTCAAATCATCCATTATAGTGCTAGATGATCTATGATTTAAGTAGCACAATGAACTAAACACCCCCTCCGTTGTACATTCGTGTGAATTCTCTAGCTTACCCATTCGCGCTCAGACACATGATACTTCTGTGGTAATTTGTCTCTAATTTCCAAACCTTAGTCTAAATTTGGTCAACGCCTAGATTGATCATAGTGAACAAAATGATGAGGTTGTACAAGTCTCGGTCTAGCCATATGCGAATCTTTAGCTTTTACGTCCCAATTTAGACTTTGTTACAAACTACTATATTGGCATGCTCGCAATCCTCGAGATGATGATTGGTTTAGCTATCTCTCTCGCCGTCACCGATGTGAAATTTTAAAATTATATAAATCTCTTTTCTTGGGATTGGCTCTAACTAAACATGGTTTTACTGTCGCCTACATGTTGTTTGTGCTGGAAGCGGAGTTGCAGATTCTGTCCGAAGCATTCATCTATACCCAATTGCACCTGTTCGGGTTTTAATTTTTTAGATAAGTAGTGTGAGTTCGTACTGAGATATAGTAATCGACATACTAGGGCATCTTTGGAAAAGTAAGATTCTCCAAGGCATGTTCGTGCATTAAGTGTTGCGCATTGATAATGTCAAATATTGTAGGGATTCTAGTGATCAACTGAATGGCAGAGGCGTCATTCTCATGGTGAAGGGTGTCCACTTATGCAATAAGCCCGCAATTAACAATATTATATAAAGTTCCTAAGTTTTTAGTGACTTGAAGAAAAACTTGTCAAACCAAAGACTCGCCTTGCGATTTAGAGGTTAACGAACGCTCGTGTTTCTGTGATAGAGAATGGCATACGAAAGAACCAGGCACATAGATGCGTTGGCAAGCCGGTCACTAGAGCTGTTCATTTAAATCCTGCCCGATTCGGCTAGGAGAGGGGGGAAAGATGCGGTGAAGACGAGTACTTGAATTCGTTGTTGACGAGTTAGTAGTCATCATGTTCCTTGACTATTGGAAATTGCTTGCCTAGGGCATCAAGGCCGATTTTTTACAACTGCGTACTGATTATTCCCTTACATCTGGTGTTTATGGCAATATTTATGCGTGCCTATACTATCTAAAAGGTATTCCCACCATTAAAACATTTCTCTCATACATCATTTGTAGTTTTTTGGCTCTGTGTTTAGAGCCCTAACCTCGTCGACAGACCAACACTCGCGTGAGGTAAACTAGACAGGATTCCTTCTATCTCCATACTGCGTCATCAAGAGTTAGCAATGCTTGCAGTGTTGTTTGGGATAAGTTTGTAGGGTTTCTTTAACCTATCATTTCATCAGCCTCCACAACCCTGTCCAATCTGTCTTCAACCTTGGGATGATCAGACCCTCCCTGCTGCAGGCTGCGCGGACTGCTGCACAGTTTGAACTCTTGCTTCAATCCTCAAGACGTACCCAAGTCTAATAAACTTTGTTTTACACCGAACCCAAGTTTCTTGAGGCTAGAAAGCGCGAGATAACGTCCGTATTTTAGGCAGATGGGGAATTAACGGCAATGTCCCGGTCTCGTTCTCCTCCCCAAGAGGCCTTTACCTCTCCACGTATGTTGAGGACTCAGATTTAGTTCTACCCCTTCTTGTACTTGTGCATTTAATTGCTCCCTAGAACTCAGCTTCCTCATTTCTCCCTAATAATCTAAATTTTACTGATCACCCCCATTGTTAGCCTTCTCGCGTACGTCGTCATGTCTTGATAACTCTTCGAATGTCACTTCAAACCTATGTCTGCATCAATCACAAAATCCTTCGAGAATTCTCGATACCACCAAAGATCAGGCAGTGGAAAGCGATGGTCGAAATATTACGCGTAAAGTATCGTCATCGTCATTAACCTATCGAAAGGACAGCTGCTGTCCAAACACGAAAGGTACAAACATGGAAACCACGGCGTCATCAGTAAAACCTTCGCAAATTCCGCTTTTACAAGATATTTCTCAGTATCAAAATCCAGAGGTATCAGATGTGACAACAGATAACGTAGCCACAACCCTAGAAGAACTAGCCCATTTGGTTTTGTTATCTAAGTATCAGGAAAGAAAACAAGCCGAGTCAAGAGTGCGCTTACAATGCTATCTTGTTTCTACAGCTCTCTCTGCCCGTCTTTCTCGATGCGGAGAACAAGCCTACCGGACTTTGGTCGATCACTTTAGAACTGATGAGAAGAAAAAATTTGCAAGTCTTTATAATGCTGTTCACGATATTCGGGGCTCTTGTGACAGTGCTCGCCAATATTCTTTTAAAGGAGCCGACTGGAATAGCGAGAGCATTAGCCCTATTCATGGGCAAGATGCATTGACCTCATTCTGGCAAAAAATACCCCAACGACACCGAGAGATTCTCCTACGATTTCTAAATCAGATACGTTCGATTCCAGAATTTTTAGCCTCCCGTCTTTCCAGTCTATCCCCCTCAGAACTTTCAGCGCTTACTGTGTTCCACCAAGGGTTAGAGAGCGTCAATTCAGTTCTTCAGTTTTATTCTCGACCAAAGAGTATCTCTTCACATAATAGCAAGGGTATTTCTCAATCATCTTCTGCTGTAGAGCGTCTGCTATCTTTCCAACGTCACGATCCCCTATCTGTTTTGATTCATACGTGTTTTGCCAATTCAGCTGGTCCAAATTCTCTTGAGGACGTAAGAAGAACGGAGGTCTGGGCTACGGCTTGTGCTCGCTTAATAACGGAGCAAAAATCTGGCGCTGACAGTTTTATCAGTCACGTACTGAACATATGGACGACTATGCGAGACTGGCCTGGACGTAGCAATATGGAATGGTACCTGATGAAGATTTTGGAAGATGGCGCATTTTTATTGGGAAACTCTGAGGATGCAGCAGAATATCACCCGCATGTCGAACCAGCAAACATCAAACATTCCATCCTTGCAGATGAATTTTACTCAACTGCGGTCCAGGGACTCTTCGAAGTTGTCGATAATTTTAGGGCAGGGGGTATTCCTGAGGGTCTTATCGAGCTTGGAAATGCCATATTGCACAAGCTCGATACTAAATGGCATCAATCTACCAAAAGGTTTCTCGTCTCCAAATGGTTATTCTCAGTGTTTATTTCAAATGCGGTCATTCATCCCGAGGTGATTCCTAACGATAAGCGGTCCTATGACTATCACTGATTCTCCTAGTCCTACGGAATGATGGCTGACTACCACATTACGGAGTATAGTCGGAAAAAAATATTGAAAGAAGTTTTCTCGAGAGCACAAAAACTTGTTGTAGATATGCTATGGTCTGCATAACATTATAATAGATGAAATTTTGCTGAGATAATTTATAGGAGCCCAACCGCAGCATCTACGCCCCTCTCTATCAAACCTCATATAGAGAATATATTGCTTCGTTTCCGTGCTAATCGAAACTCTGGACCCAAATCCAAACTACTTCCTGCGAGATCCATTACTTCATTGAGAGAAACTACGGAAGTTCGTCCATATCTAGTCCTAGGTCCAGCCGATTTGGTAACTCTGGTGAATGCCTTATTCCCTGAAAAGCGCTCCAGCTTAAATGCCGCCTCCAAAGATCCTCTTCCTTCTCGCTCAAAGATCTCATCATTCTCTACAGCTGGAACGGTATGCGGTATTAACTCTGCTTCTACATCAATTTCATGCAACACATTTGATAATACATCAGTAATTAGTAATAGTAGCTCTTCGGTCACTAGTGATATAACGACTTCACGGGAGCCGCTGCTTGATGAAACCTCCAAAGGCCGGGAAAACTCTGATGAGGATGCTAGATTCGCACTTCGTATCGCTCTTCATGAAATGCAACAGTCATTAGGCTCTGATGGGATTTCTGGCGCATGTCATCCGTGCGCAGAGAGCTGGGCTGTTTTATTCGTGTCACCCGACGGACTATCTCTTTCAACACAACTACCGAATGACTCTGATGACGAAGCTGACGAGGAAGAGCTCTCCACAAGCAATGAAAGTGAGGATGACATGACAAGTATACGGCCGGGCCTCGATAAAGACTATCACCAGATACGAGACTCCATACTAAAACTAGTCGAAGACTACGAAATTCCTCAGTCTCTTAATCCGCGAGCGGAATTAAAGACGTTCAGCAATAGAACCTCCGCTATGAAAAGTCCGAAGAAAAGGCAACGAAATCGCCCTTTGGCTAAAAATCAACAACAATCTCGAAATCCCTTCAAGTGTGTTCCAGAGGCCAATTCTGCGTCGCTTAAACCAAAGCCAAAGCCAAATCAAGAGCGGGAGTGTGATAGAATTCCAGACAGAGATGCCCCATCTACCTTGATTTATATGCTCGAAGCAGCTGTGACACAGTGCCAGGCACAGTCTGATTTTGTCAATGCTCATCTTTACTGGAAAACTTTGAAACAGCTTAACCAGCTGCCATATCCAAGTTTAAAACGTGACGGCTTTTTATCGCTGTTGAGTATTTTCTCCCGAGGTCCGCGGGATTTAATACGGCGCTCTACTAGTGCAATTGAAGAATACGACGCATGGTTAGTCTGGTTAAAACAATCCCAAGAGCGCCATGATAAGACTATCGAATCGATGATGAAAAAGTTTAAAGCCTTACGAGATAAGATGTGGTATGTGACCGATGTGAGAAACTCAGCAGCCTATGAAGGTACCCGGAACATTACCATTGCTTTGAAGTATATGTCTTCTCTACCAAAGTTATCTCACACTTCCTCTGCAAGCCTCAAAGCACGGAATGCCTCGAGATCTTCCACAAACAATTTTTTACTAAAGACAGAAACTCAAATGATTGATGCCATGGCTGCCTCGAACGACCAAGGAGGGCCGAACAAGCTCTCAGATGAGCAATCGGAGAAAACATTACGATGGCTCTCACAATTTGGAATTGAGAACTTCTGCAAAGGGGAAGAGCGCATTCACAGGTTCTGCTTGGAAGTTCAGTCTTGTATTAGCAAGCTAGTTGGTGAGAATCTTATGGACGGCCCTGTACTATGGTCTAGTGAACTCTTCTCGCGCGATAAAAAACTTTTGGATTGTGGCAAGCAAAGAAGTGATGTCCATGGTAGTGAGATCGATTCCTCACATAGCTCAGTCAATTGTGTAGAAGAATCAGACCCACTACGACGTAATACCAAGAACTTGGATCTAAATCGAACAAGTTTTCGTAGTCTTCGAAGTATGTCTGCTCGAAACTTACAACAGCAGCAAGGTAATAGCTTTAATAGTGGGCTTGGTGCATCTCGTTCTAATGCACAAGCTGCAGGGGACCTGATGGATTCTCAAGACTGTTATCGGGCAGCAACTCCATCCCTGACAATTGACTCCTCTAGTACATTTTGGTCACCGTTTCAGGCTAGCAAACAGACATCAGCTTCCAGCTTGAACAGCATTCGTACAGAAACAATCAGTTCTGTAAGAGACAAATTCTTCAAGGAAGCACAAGAGTCCCGTGTAAAGCAGTTATTTCTCAGAGATCTCAGGCAAACACTAAGTGGGCTACTCATCAGTGATCTCGGGAATATTATCTTTGCAAACGGAAGCGAGACTGACACTTGGTTCTCCGGTGAGTTTGGGAAAGACTGCTTCGAAAGGAAGGAGTGTCCTGAGCGAAAGACGAGTCGGAAAGTAACCAGAAAACGGACTCTCGACAAGAAAAAGAGCCAAAGAGATCTACGCTATGTACATAGGTCTGATAATCCTTTGGAACCACAAATTATTTCAGGCCAGCGAGCAGAAAGAGAGATTTCGTGTCATTCTGGAGGCTCCAGCACTAGTGAAAACTTTCATCGCAAATTTAGTTCTAAAGATATGGATTGTCCCGAGTTTCCATATAGAAAAGCTTTTCGACACTTACTTAAAATGTTTTCTGTCCATCCCAATCCATATGCCAAACTAGATTCCATATTCGAACTTGAGCAACTAATAATTGCATTTCTGACGCCCACAGCTAGCCGTCGATCTCGTATAAGACCAGAAACACTTAACGCGATTCCCTCTTCACCAGAAGTACAGCATATAAACGCTTTTGGCAACACAAATATTCTATCGCATACTCCACGAGCCAAGAACTTAGAAGAGGCCATCGATAACTGTAGAGAACGACGTTCCAATGCGCTCTACCAGAATGAAAAATTTACCCCTAGTTATAAAGTCTCCGAATTCTCCCCCTCTCAGGCTGGTCCAGCTAGCACTGATATGATTGTTGAAGTGCTTCAAAGCCTTTTCCGCGACTCTGACATGCGGCCTAAAACATTATTTCGTGACCTCCAATTTATTGCTACATTTGTTCCAGCTACTACTCTTGATAAAACTGAACGAGGAAAAGCCTTCTGGGATGCTGGTCTTGCTGCGTTAGGACTGAAACAGGATGTCTGTAGAACTTTGATAGAAATTGCCGATGAAATTGTAGCCCAACATACCCAAACGCGCTCAACGACCATCTCAACTCCCTCCGAGTTAAATTTAACGCTTCCTAACAAGCGATACAATATGCGAGATGCTGCCAAAATGTGGACCATCACCGCAAAAGAAGGAGACCCAGTTGCTGAACGAGAACTGGCAATATTCTACCTCACTCACCCACAGTTAGTTGAAAGGGTAACAGCACCCTTAAGTAAGCCTCGAGAAACATTCAAAGCTCAGGTAATGAATACACACGCAAATAGTGGCAAGGAAGAAAGAAATGATCCTGCTACAATGTGTGTAGCTTACCACTGGATGGAATTATCTGCACTTGGCGGCGATGAGCTCGCCAAAAAATATTTGAGGCAGAGGGAAGAACTAAACGACCTACCTTAGTATGCGTTTGGCTAATATAATTTTCATGTCTATATCATACTTCGATCGCCACCTACAAAGGAAGTAATGTTTATATCAGAATATCAAGGGTTAAAATAGGTCAACATCTCTGGTTTCTTATACCTCAAAGAATATTTACAATGTTACTCTTGCCCTGGAGACATTCAAGTTGATCTACTTTTCAACCCGGTAAGACCTCAGATTTCTGCGATAATCTTCTATTTTTAATTTAAATACATCAAATTTTGAAGTGAACAATCAATCGGCTAACAGTAGATAAAATCACAGGAGTACCAAATAATATTTATGATTTATACCAACTATCTCAAATCCAAATGATGATAGTCACTCGAAGATAATCTAACTATATGATGCTAGGAGCTGGTCATCATAAATCCATGACAGAGAGAACCTTGAATATCAAGACTCAAATGCCTGTGGAGAATGATGAGCGAAACACTCCCAGACATACTTGAAGATCTTTCAGTGGTCAATTCGAGAATCTACTCTAAGTTAGGGCTAGTGGTGACCTCAAAAATCTGTAAGATTGACAGGATTTGAGTGCAATCTAATCAACAAACTAAAGCAACGCCTCAAACTACGATTCAATGCCTTCCTCAAGTAAGAACTATGTTAAATCGGAGACCATATCATTGTCAGCTCTGCCATATGAAAATCGTAAAAATCGGCTCAAGATTGCATAGTCATGACATAGCATTCGTGTTTTCAGGGTAAGCTTTCACTGCCGTATAAGTGAACGAGACTAAGCTGTTCGCACAGGTAGCTATGTCAAACAACCTGCTTTCTTACAGGCTTCACTCCTCGCGCGATGAAAGTCTTCATTTTGACAAAATATGTACAGTTGAGTTTTTGAAATCAATAGGGTCACAAATGATTAGGCAATATAGGAAGTGAGGGACATGCAGCTGCAGAGAGGGTAGTAAATAAATATGATAGAGATATCAAGCAAGATAAAATAAACTAGATCCACGGACATTTGAATTACGATAATTCTTTGAAAACTCATGTCTTACATGAAAATTAGTGCGGCTTGGCTAAAAATCGGTGTCTTAGACAGGTACATAGATAAAGTCGTAAATACGAGACATAACTCACACCATTAGGCATTAAATCGAATTAAATCTGCTTTCATCATGAATATGGAGGCATGTGACTACTCTTCTGACACCGATCGACGAAATAACCACCTATATAGCCCTAAATTACATAATATTTCTCATCTTTTTATAGGATTATCGATAATTCGCATCAATTTTAGCCCTTTTTTGTAGTAAATATCCTTCATCAAGATATTATAAGAGCTCATGAAGATCCCCATTGAACAAAGGCGAAGGTTAACTATGCCTCTCCTACAAATCCCTTTCAACAGTACCATTCCTCAAAAGTTTTGATTTGATCTTATAATTTGAGCCCTTCGCCCTTTGTTTTCTCTCATCTCCGACCAACGGAACGCAAACAGCTTGCAGTGTATGGCAGCTAGTTAATTTATTAAAAACTGTGAGACTCTACGAGTCAATTGAATAATGTAAGATGTAAAAAGTGTCAACTAATTCCTGGCTTCTCTCTTTCTTTTACTATCTACACTATGTATGTCCAGAAAATATCAATGCCCTATCTGTCCCCAATTTGTCCTCATGAACTAAGTTTCTCATGGTTTAGAACGAAACATCTCTAGTCAGAAGATATAAAGTTCTTATTGCTACAACCCAAGCGAAACACCTTTGTCCGAAACAAGTACACTCAGACCCCTGTTAAGACGATCATGGTTAAGCCGATATTGCCGTTTATACAATATGTTTTCCGGAACGGACTTCGTCCCCATACATTTACCGGCTACTCGATTATCGTTCTTCATCCTCTGAATATCTTCTTAATCAGGTTTTTTTGTTAGATTGGTGCTAATAATGCCGGTGAAAAAGGGAATTTCTATAGAGCAACGACATGCTCTGCGACGATGGGCGCATCACTAGGTCCCGAAACCAACACAAAAACAGTGCATTGAGTGGTTCTTCGCTGAGTACGGGCACCGATTAAGCCAGTCCACAGTCTCCGAGTCCTTAAGCAAGACCTTTGCGAAACTCGACGAAGCTACAAGTACTACTGCGCTACGACAGCGAGCTGTAAACTGGCTACCTTGAGTATACTCTCCTGGTGTGGCAAATACGAGTTCAACAAGGAGGAGGGATCACAACTGGCGATTTGCCCCGTGAGAAGACAAAGCAGGTCTGAACACAATTACCACAGCACGCTAGCTAACCGTGCCCTGAATTCAGCGCTCGCTGGCTTGAGAATTTCAAGAATCAAAATCATATTCAGAATCGGGTACGATATGGTGAAGTTGGTTCAATTCCAGCGGCTGCCGAAATCGAAATGAAAGCTTTACAGACAATTGCAGGAGAGTTTGAGGAAGAAAATATATATAATATGGACAAGTCAGGTCTCTTTTGGAAAATGCTACCTTCACGTAGGCTATTGTCACGACCTCAACCCAGGCTCAAGAAAAACTAGGACCGAGTCTCTCTCTGTTTTTGTACGAATACCTCAAGTTCTGACCGACTCCCATTTAATTATTTGCAAATATAAGACGCCTCGGGCCTTGAAAAACGTTAGTATTCAGACAATGGGTGGCAAGTGGAGGTGGAATTCCAAAGCATGGATGAACATCGCAATTATGGGCGAATGGCTTCAAGAATTCTATCGTCACATTGAAAATGCCCGAGATGTACTATTGTCAATGGATAATTTTTCTGTTCATTATTCTGCCGTTGAATTATACCCTTCTCCGTCAAACATCAAGATCTGTTGGCTTCCAGCTTATAGTACAAGCCCGTACCAACCTCTTGATCAAGGTATTATTCAGAACTACAAAGTATTCTAAAGATAGTACTGGATCCGCTTTGTTCTACAAGCAATTGAAGAGGGTACAGATCCACAATCAACTGTCAATAATCGACTAGCAATTCGCTGGATATTACGAAGTTGGAATAACGAAGTTACCAATACAACGATTCGTAATTGCTTTCGGAAATCGACTTTTATTCCCAAGCCAATTGCTCTTCTTACGCCTCTACTTCCGACTGGACTTTCCGAATTTTTTAATGAGGTAGTCAGAGCAGGAGACATACGAGATTCAATGGCAATAGACAATTTTCTTAGTCCAATTGAGGAGGAAGAGGAAGGGAATGTGATGCTTGACGAGGCAATGATCTTACAAGAGGTGATAGGGGGACATTTGGGAGAAAATCAAGATGAAGATGTAGTACAAGACGAACAGCCTTTGTGGACAGCAAAAGAGGCCGAAATGGCTCTGAAAGTGTTAATTGAGTATACTGAGAGTCAAGATACTCTTAATTCTAGTTATTTGTGAGTATTAGAGCGATTAGAGACGGCAATTGGGAGTATAAAAGAGGCATCAAAAGTACAAAGTAGTCTAGATAGCTGGATTAGATAATCATATCCTTTTCGGCGATATCCTCTATGCGACGATATTTTTCACGGCCCCGATTACATCGTCTTAACAGGGGTCTGACTGTAACTCCAAGCTTTGCAAACCTAACACTTTAAACTCTATGTCTGACATTGATCGCTTCCAAACTATCCATAGTTTGATAAAAATTATTGCGCAAGAACCCTCTCTTATACCATAGCTGGGGCTAGATCTCTAGACAGATATTACGTCATATTTTATGGGTTGCGCCTATGTTCTAGTGACTAAGTCGCGCGGACAGTAATCCTCATTAAGTCATTAAACTTGAGATTTGAGAAGATGCCTTTACTTGGGCATATAAAATGAGCTCGCAAGGGATAAAGGAACAGGAAACGGTTACAGAGATTAACATGTGGAAATATGACTCTACGCGTCCCAGATACGCTGTGACGATATTACCTAGAATACCAAGGACGAGTTGTAATGGAGCAGATAATGTAATTAACGCATTAGGAGTCAGGACACCTTAAGTAGCTCTCACTCGATAATGACATCCGAAGCGTTTCTAAAAAATAGACAGTATTCGGCCACAACTCTTTTTACATTATTTTGTCGATAGCCCACCATATCATTAAGCGTCCTAAGAGGCCAGAAACTTGGGCGCGGTAGGTTTTTGTGTAGCGAAGAGGAACCCGGACTGAGATTTAAAATATTAGCAAGCTGATGTATGTAATGGAAAGCACTGTGTGCGCCAGACTTTCGATTTTGAAAGTGCAGCTGATAGTATAAACACAAGACAACGATGGAAGGTGCCGTGGTCGCATCCTGGCGGCGTTCTCTGGTATGGTTTGAGTAGCCTGGGCACCTACTCCACTTGTAACTGGGACGCTTTAGACCACATTTCACGCGGAGATAAGTCAATGGATGCTAGAGGCATGTCTAGATAACTCAGGGTTTTTAAGACGTCTCCCTGGGTGGGTATTCATGGATGAAGGTTGACTTGGGGTGAAGAGAAAGCCGCCATAACATCGCAGTGATGCTTGCAAGCGAAATCCGAGGCCTGAGTGCTCTATGTCTAAATTGAATCACCTACTCTGAAGACGAAGAATGGACAAAAAAAAGCTGGTAAGACAGCAGCACTCCAGTGTTGGGAAGCCCCATGGAGACTTTTCAAGAAAGAGCGACCATCTTCTCTTTTTTTTTTTTTTTAATCATTTAATGTGTATTCAGCTATAAAGCTATGACACATGACCGGTGCTATGTATACATATTGGATGACTCTTTTGACGTTAGAGACACTCATTGTCTGGATTTCATTTGCAAATAACACTCTGTGGTACGCTTGCTAACAAACACAGTTGATCCTCCTCCGTAAGTACCCACCAACGGGAATTTCGAACTCTTTGGTTATCCAAGCATGCCTTCGTCATCCATGCATACCGGCGCCACAAGAGATGTGGTTGTGTTTTGCCGGATTCGAACCAGCGATCTACTGTCTCAAGTGGGATATGTGTTCAAGCTATCCAGACTCTACTTGGCAGACCGTTCAAGACGATGTACCACCGCACCATCCAACCATGGCGGTGTTTATAGTGTCGCCTGCACTCTCGCAACCGAAGTCTTGGCACGCTCAAAGCTCAATTTGTAAAAACTCCTTGCCAAAATTCCACGCCCGTTGAGACTGTATCCATCCTTCGCATCATCTTGTGGACTCGTCCTGATCCCTCTCACGTCTATCCTAAAGAACAATTTCCCAGATTTGTGCGCCACGCTTTGCTTCCTCCGTCGGGTATAAGTATCGGCGTGGGCGTGTATCTGGCGACCAGCTGAGGCCAGAGAAGGTCGGCGAGAGGTGTGTTCATTTGAATGAGGATGTACTAGGTCGTACTTGTAGACTTAATGAGGCTTAGGTAGGATTCGATCTTTTTTGGAATGAAAATTTGACGTGGTGGAGTTATTTGAATCATTGCCTCGTGGGCTAACTTGTTCGGTATTGCAAAATTTGACTGATATTGTCTCGGGGAGAATATTTCACTCCCAGGTTCGTAGAGAGCACCACTGACAGGTGTTCAGTCTTGCCCTCCAGACCGTCTTCTCATCGGGCGTCGGCAAATCCAGAATATTGGAAATCAGCAAATACCGTTACTGATAAGATAACAGGCAGAAAAAGAATCATCTATAGAAACACACCCTCCAACATCTACCGAAACCTTAGCAGGGCCTAAAGTAGTATCGCAATACAGATGAGAAGTGAGCATATCGGCCTCAACTCATATCTACGCAGAAGAGAGGTCCCCGGAGTAGTAGATAAAAAATGCCAGTGTGGATATTCGTCACAAAATATCAAACATATGGTCTTGGTTGTCTTCAGTGGGCTCGAGGAAGAGGAGACGTGCTGCGATGGGCAAAATATTGGTCTTTTGAAGCCATGATAAACAGTCCTGATAATATTAAGAGAATTGGAAGGAAGATACTAACTAGAGGCTGGTTGGTATAGTTCCAGCCTGTAGAAGAAGTTGAGATAGCAGTGATTGAAAGGATGAAGCGGTTGGGAAAGGGAGAGGATGGAAATTATACTGGATGAACAGTATTAACGTACTTCTTGGTGAAAAACTTAGAAACTAATACACACGAGATAGATAGGGTCATGGAGTTTTCATAGAACCAGTTTCTGGCAAGGGATGAAGTAGATTCAGGTATCGTATAGTCACTTGCTGTCAGGCGTCTGATGCGCGATCCACTATATAAATATTTTTACAAGACTCAGTAGAAGTTATCCACCCCCTTTGTAGATAATCTCAATCACCAAATTAGACTTCGTAAATCTATTTTATGACCTTTAGCCTGAAAGTTTCGTCATCTGTAAATAGCATAGCTTTATATACCTGCGTGACCTGTAGGGTACCCGAGCGGGATAAATGAAATGAAATCTAAATCAAGAACGATGCTAAAGTAAGAATCAAAGTTTAGAAAACAGGTTAGATTCGTGTATGTGGATAAAGTACGAAATTTGTTGCATTCTGTACTAAAAGAGTCTAAGGCTATCTAGCAAACTGGGCTCCTCTGAGCTAAACCACAACTGGTACGGTGCACCTATTTTTGATTTAGTATTCATGCAACTTGATTCTTTGACTATCCAGCATCTTATATAGTACTCCTATCAGCTTTTGGGGGGAAATTTTGTTTCTGACACAATGCTCATGATGGATAGCCATGTAGCTCAGTAATTACCCGCAGAAGTCAGCCTCCTCTTTCATGGAATCTTCTACTCGAAGAAAGATTTAAATTATCTGAAATTGCTTGCGTGAAAAAAGCTTTCAAAATTCTGTAGCCTCAGACCGGCAGTGTCTAGGCAGCGGAGCCACAAGAGGAGCTTAAATCCATCTACATCTACCTTCCTTGAAACAATAGAGACCAACTTGGTACAATCAAACACCACCGTATCGAGAGCTGGGTATTCTTCGGAGACTCATCTGATAGCTTCATCTCCATAGTCAAGACAGTGGATGATGAGTTAGGTTTCGACCCTGCCGTCTGATCCGATACTAGCTAGCTTCGTAGTAATAGCGATACTAGGTTGCGCTGGAAGATGAAGACCATACAGACCACGAGACAAGTTGGAAATCCTGCTCGAGGTGATGAAATCGAATGCGATTCTTCTTGACTACTCTAGACATGCAGAGCTTGTTGAGAGTTATCTCCGGCACCACTGTAAATTTTTTGCTTTGTTTCTTAGAGTTGCATATAATTTATATTTAAAGATAGTTGTTTAATCTACTTCCTACATCAGTGGAGAGGCTTCGATTAGCTGCATAGTCAGAATGGTGACTGAAGGAATGCTGAGCCAGGGGTGCCTGTATATATATAGATTCACGTGATCTTATAATTTCAACGTGTCAGATGTAGTGCACTGATCAGAAAGACGTATATGAATATTTGGTGATTGGAGCCAGAATTACCGTGTAAAATAAGCCGAAGATGAAGTTGACAGCTTTGAACATCTGCCTACTAGCACATTTCACTTCACTAGTCTCAGCAACTGCGCTTACATACATGCTAGGTGCGAATGAGAGAGCATGTTTTTACGCCAATGTAGAAAAGAAGGGTTTAAAGGTCGCATTCTATTTCGCTGTATGTGAACATCTCATTACTTTTCTAGTAATACGCACTAATATAGACCCTATCAAAGGTACAATCCGGAGACTCATTCGAGATTGATTATGAAGTTGTAGGGCCGGATAGAAAAGAGATTCTTGATGGGATTAAGGAGCGACAAGGAGACTTTGTCTTTACAGCGAACGCCGCCGGTCCTCACGAATTTTGTTTCAGCAACAAAGTCAGCGCCTCTACGCAAAAACTGTTTGACTTCGAAATTACTGTAAGCAAGTGCGATAGAGACAAACGTTGTCATGGCTGATACAAAGTTAAGGTTGAAAACGAACAAACAGCATCAATTCCTTTCAAACAAGACAAATCACCGGAACAGACATCTAACCTGGAGGAATCTATATTTAAGATCTCGGGTCAACTATCAACTATTACTAGAAACCAAAAGTATTTTCGGACTCGTGAGAACCGCAACTTTAGTACTGTAAGAAGTACCGAACGAAGAATATTTAACTTTAGTGTTCTTGAAAGCCTTTTGATGGTGTGTATGGCTGGACTGCAGGTCTTTGTAGTGCGATTTTTCTTCCAGGTAAAGTCTCCAAAGAACTTTCTCCACTCCATCTAGAACTAAACTTTTTTTTAGGGTGCAAGAAAAGGCTATGTGTAGTTTTATGGATGAAATCAATTGTCATATAAAAATTTTAAGAGGAAAAATCCCACTTAGGGCTTAACGCTTATTGAATTATTAAAAAAAAGATTACAAAATTGACACAAGTAAACCGGTTATCGGTTATCTGTGACAGCTTGATGGTAGCCGAAATTATTAAATTTTGTGGTCTTTATGTCCTATTATAGTCTTTCAACCTAGATAAGGTCTTGAACATTATTGGTACGTATTAATTTCTCACAAGGACTACTCTTGGCTCTTCTCCTGTAGATCACTATATTGCTCAAGATAAATAAGAGATTATAAATAATTCTAAAACAACTGATCACAGTATTTTTCCATGAAAACACCTACCTTTTCAAGTTCTGTCCAAGGCTAAATTGTGAGATTTATTACTTCAGCAATCGCATTATACGACCTCAGACTTAAGTCCTATTGGTCAGGACTATCAGCTAATCCACAGACCTGCCTAATCTTGAAATAGTTTCGAATATTTCATCATTTAAAATGAATTTTCTTCGCCATATCGTAGTATGGAAGCTGATGTCAAATGCGACGTATTGAACTTCAAGAGATGCAGAAGTAAATGCTCAATTTTCCCTACATATAGGATAGCCAAGAAGAAAGGAAGTAAATATCAAATACACTCAAATTCACAATTAATGACTTATCATCGATTTTAGTCTAACCATTCAATATTACTACAGAACGGCTAGCCTTCACGACTGATCAAGTTGAAACTCCAATTAAAAACAGCTGCTTGCATCACTAATCATCGTCTATCTTCCACTCTCAAATTATGATGCTACTTTTTCCCATAAGGACAAATGAAATCAATATAAAGAAATTCTGGTTTCAAATAATGAAGGATCGTAGCCATAATTATGCTGAACAATTTTAAGAAAGTTAGGCGGCTGGAATGTGGAACAAAGTGGAAGAGACTATCAATAGGCACGAGGGGGTTTCAAGTAAGGTTTTTGCGGGCACTATGACCAAGATTTCGGGATTTTTTCTTGTTTTTCCCGGCTCATTTGGGATTGGATATATGGGCATTACTGAGCCGATACGGATTAACTACCCATACAATATTGTCTGAATTCAAGGTTTGTGCCTGGTACGTTGAAACTATCACATCAAATCAATAGCTGAAGATACTGGAGTGACGAATAATTTCCTAAGTATTTATTATTTGCGCGACTTGCTGTGAAAGTAATGACGAAATGCCAGGTCACGGGTCTAATTATCGATAAAATAATTATTGTTCTATTGGAAGGTCTTATAAAGTGATATCACAAGCCTTGACACAAGTCGGGTTGTATATAGTATAAGTATGTGGTCCTGTTACTATCTTCATTGTATATATGAAAGAAATAGTGAGGTTGTCACATGACAATAAGGAATAGGCTCCGATGTATGACTGGTTGAATCAATTGTCCGACAAGTTCCATTTTTCAATTATGGCACTCTACAGAAGTATCACGGCAACAATAATGATATTAGAGGGAGTTTGTGTGTATGCATGTACAAGTTTATTGTCCTGTTGAGCCTTTCACTATTTAGAGTCGTACAGGTCCGTTTTACCCTCGAGTCGGAAGTGTCTTTGCCTCGGGTAGTGGACCCCCTCATATGCCTCCTTCGCGAATTCTTTCCAGCAGTAACACTCACACATGCCTTCATCTGACTACACGCTAAGAGGGGCTGTTATCCCGTCATGATCTCCCTCTCCAGCCAACGAAACGATAACCGTTTGTGGGTATGAAGCTGCAGGGAAAAGTCTCAAAACCCACTGGGTGCAGGGCTCTACTAATACCATCGTCAGGACTAAATCAGAAGACATGGCTACCCCTCTGAAGCGTTCAAAGGGGTCTTATAGCCAGGTGCAAAAGATCTATGTATAACTAAGAGCCTCTCTTCCATTCCTAGCCCCCCCTTGCCATTTCTCTGATTTATACCAAAATTTGTGAAAGGATGCCAGTAAAGTCTTGGTCGAGAGTGACTGGCGTTAAAGAGCCTAGCCTAGCATCCAAAAGTTGTGTGTGTGTGTGTTAATTGTGCTACTTGAGTCTACGACTCTAACATATTGGGCTCCTTTCTGGCCCAGGCCACATCTTGTACAGTGCTCCTACCCTCTTTTGTTACTTGAAATATCATTGATATATTCCTCTTGATGAATAGCCATTCAGCTCAGTGTTTACCCGTGGAATTCGGCCACCTTTTCCGCGGAACCTTCTACCCAAAAAAAATAAAAATGGTAGCAATGGAAACTGCGTGCGCGGGAAAAAGTCTCAAAAAACCTGCAGCCCCAGCCAGGCGAGGCCTAGACACCGGGACCACATGAGGTGCCTATATTCATCTATATCTTGTGATGGGCGATCAACAAAACAATATAGTAAATGAATGGTGGCCGATTAATGTCTATTTTCTACATACATCTCGGAACTGTCCACCGAGGGGAGGCTACTTAAGGTGTCCCAACTCCCAATGCGCTAACCTCACTATCTATTCTACTACACCATATCCTTGATATTCCGAGTGGGCTCGTCATATCGAATCATGGGCCGATACGACCCAGATTCGCTATGAGACTTGCTGCAACAATATCTTGTTTCCATATTTGTTGCAACCCTGTATTTGTATGGCCAAGTTGGACATCTCTTTAGATAGCAAGGCTAATGACGTAATAATGATAAGTGTCCGTGCGACAGTCACTAGGAGATAGGCGCAGCCTGTAACATATCTCCCTTGTAACAGTCGAGGTCGACTTGATCCAACCCGCCATCTCCGTATCGGGTGCTGGGTACGCTCCGGAAACTCATCGGATGGCTTTTCCTCCATGATCAAGGGTTGGTGATGAGTAGGGCCCCGACCCTACCATCTGATCTGATCATGGTTAGCTTCGTGGTAATGGTGTTAGGGGAATGTGCTGAGAGATGAAGACGATACAGACGGCCAGAGCGATTGGGAATCCTTGTCGAATTGAGGACTTGTTACTCAATCTCGGCTCTGTAGACTCTACAGTGAGAGCTGGAGGTTCGTAGGGGACACCACTGACAGGTGTTGAGAAAAGTCCCCCTTCCAAAGGTGGTACGGGCGGGAGATTGTCGAGTAATTTGTGTAGTTCGCATACTCTTCTGACTTGCACGGTCGGAAGTAAGGATGTACAGAGACTAGTCCGTCTATGAGTCGGGTCCCGCTTTTTTTGGGGGTCAAAGTTTCATTCACTTCACCTTCATAGGCATTAATTTGCCAGTCGATGGGCAGCGCAAGTTGTGAAATAACGAGGGCTTGTCTAAATGTCGTTGTAGTGTATGATACAGCAACATCTTTCCTCTTTACATGCATCATTATCGTTGTCTTCATCGTCAAACAAAGTGTTGGAAGCGTACTTTTGAGGGAGGGAAGATAATTAATTTCAAAATATGGTACTTAATCTCTGCTCTATATGCTCTATAGCGATGGTTGGAGAGTTTTAGAGGACACCGCTGACAGTGGTTGAGTTTTCATCCCCCGACTAAATAATTGAAGCTATGGGTATAGACGACCGAAAGCCCTTGGTCTTCTTGGACTAATGATGATAATCAGACCAATACCGTTTTGTCTATAATTTAATTTTGGATGACATCTTTGATCAGAGAAGTTTGAAGCGTCATGCTTAAGCCATGCACCTTGAAGACTTTATAAGAGAATGTGCTTAAGGGGGAATTCTCTAGCAATTTTTTTGCTTTGATTATCTGTAATTATTCACGTTAGAAAAGAACAAATCTAAATACCTTTGAAATTTGCTCTGTGTTAAGACAACCTTCACCCATAGGTAAGCTGCAATAGTCTAGTCTCTCGACAACTTCAGTTGCCCCGAACTGAACCTTCTCCATCATCAAGCACCGAAACAGTAAATTTACCTGTAGTATCTCCTACTACATATCTCCAAAAGCTGTCCGTTTTTGATTTATCTTTTCCTCTAGAGATTGGCAATGATGTTTGTTTGAAATTTTGACGAGGTAGATAATTAGAACCCTCCGCACTCCCTTGGGAACTTAAGCATGTATGTTGATGGCCCAAATGAGGGGAACCACCACAGACTTCGACCATAAGTTAAATATTACCAAGTCTAAATGTCAAGAAATCCCGATTTTAATAACTTAAAGCGCAGATTCCTCCCCAGGCCCACGAAACCTTCTCAACATTTAACCTCTCTTTCCCGTTCATTCCCAGTTATTCAATGACCTAAGAATTCCTCACCTGAGCCAGGGATCATTTTTTTAGAATAGATCTTCTCAGTTTTGATACCATCAAATTCCCCATGACATTCAGTAAAAGATCAGTCGGGATCTGCATATTCTGGATAGGTTAGAGCATATCAAATAGCTCGGTCGGAGGACAAGGATTGAATACCTGTCAACGTTGAGCTGTGCGAACCTGATAGTGAACTAATTGACAAGAGCCAAATTTAGTCGAATTTCACGATAATAAGTGGCTGTACCACATGGTACTCTTTCGCAGCTCCCTATCATAGGTTCTTTTCACTCCTTATAGGATTGATTCGTGCCAGACTGTCATAAAGTCTATAGGTGCGACCTGATATATTCTCATTTCAATTACCACGTCCCTCTTCTACTCAGTATCTGGAATCAGATAGCCTCTGAATACACGCTCACGGATAAACGAATAGTCGCGGAGTGAGAAATTTTGTGGTACACAAATCTGGCAGGGTAGATATTCTGGATGAACGTGAGAAGGTTAAGAGTGGAAAAATAAGATTATGCTAGGGACGTGTGAGATATCGGAATATGTGTGAGGTCGAATTTGGAAAAGAGTTCGAATCGATGAATATTGAGCGAGCATGAACTTTTCTTGCAAGATTGTAGGCAGTAATTAAAGTATAGTCATTTTTGGATGGTGCAGTGGTACATCGTCTGGGTTGACCTCTCATGTACAGTCTGTATGTCTTGGAAAACTGTCCCACTTAAGACAGGAGATCGCTTATTCGTATCGAGCATGATCTGGACACATTCTTGGCAGTGCTCTTGTATTTGATAACACAGGCTTGCGTGGAAACCGAAAGTTTTTGAGACCTCCCTTTCGTTGATGCTGACAAAGAATCGACTTCTCTGTCATAATAATTACAGCTCGATGGTATTTGCGGATAAAATCCAGCGCGTGGGTGTTTTAGAGGCCCTAAGGGTTGTGTGACATGTAGAAAAATCACTGGTCATTTATCATAGCTGTAAAGCTGGATACACATTGAATTATGATGAAAGAATTCTTGAGAAGTAAATATTAAGAGAGTTTAGACAAGTCGAGATTTTTGGGTGTAAGATAGACGGAAGAATAGTGACTATGCTAGCTATTTGGCGCATAGTCAAATATCGTAATTTGTTTGAAAGTTTGATTTATTGATGTAGCTGCTAAATCATTTATCTTCATCTTCAACTCTCGATCGTTTCGTAGTTCTGTCGCCGTCGTCGGTCTGTAGGCCAAATTGTCTCTTGCTAGAAGAGCCCTCGCCAACCTTATTGAGGAAATCATCCACATTGAAAACATCACCCAAATCCTTTTCGAATTGAACGGGTCCATCTCGTGCCTATAAATAAAATGGTTAAGTAAGGTACCAAGGATTAAATTAGATAATACCTTACCTCAACATCCCCACTTCCTTTGAAAGTCCCTTTACCAAGTGCATCACCAAATCGCTGATTTCTCTGTATTTTTCCAAGTTCTGTATCCGCGGCTTCTTCATCATCATCCCAATCATCTGATTGACGTGGACGATATATGCTAGAAATGGCATCCTGAGCGGCAAATAGCGGTTTATCATATGCTTGATCTTCGTTAAATCCAGTATCAAATCCACTTGTTCGATTGAAAAGGCGAGAGTCAAACATTCCTTCCGATGACTGCGTTGGTTTTGCCAAGCCAAGAGCTATCTTTTCTGATATATCTCGATTTTGCTCACGTGCCATTACTTGTACACGACGTTCTGCGCCCATACGAGATTGTCTGAGTTTACGCTCCTCTTCCCTTCTTCGTTCGGCACGAATTTTTTCTCTTTCCCGCACTTCTTCATTTTCATCATTCTCGGAAGATGACTGTGAATCAGAGTAGCTATTGGATCTGGACCTCATCCTAGGGTTGCGGCGACTGGAATCGACCTGAGCACGCTCTTCTCGAGCCTTCTGTGCCAATGTTCGAAGATGTTCTTCCTTCTGAGCTTTTTCTTTCTCGGCTAGACGTTGTTGCATTAAGGCTCTTTGCTTAACTTCTTCACGAGCGTGACGGTCTGCCGTAAATAGCGCTTCAGCAAATTGGGCAAATTTGTCATTGATGGTAACATCTTGAAGGCCTCTGCCATCTGCTGCCAGCCGCTTATCGAGTGGCACAGTGTATCCTTTAGGGTTCTTCCAATTAGAAACTGGAGGTGGAATCTTCCAAGCCTCCTGGTCTTCGGCGGTTAGTTTTCGAGGTGGCGAGTGCATAACAGGTGGTGGAGGAGAGGGAGGACCTCGTGGGATCTTCTTGTGCTTGAATTTGGGCGGTGCCATAGGGTCTTGCTGTCTCTCTACAATCTTCATAATGCGATCCTTCTTTTTTGTATTGTCTCCCATTTGGTTAGCTGGCGTATACCTAACATATGTCGGTTCTTTTCTCGCGGATACATTAACATTCTTTGGCTTCTGGGCTGCCACGGCGCCATTCACTAGCTTGGCAAGTGCATCTTTAGTCCTTTCAGTGGAAGTAGCTACCTCTTCCTCAGTCGGCCTATCTAGATTAATATCTCCAATGTCAGCACGTTGCCGTAGAGGAATTAGCTCTTTGAATGAAGTGTGTACGATTCGTTTCTCATTATGCCCCTGGCGTGCTATTGCATCGTATTTTACTTTGCCTTTGGCGTCTACCTGGACAGCAAGAGCTGTGCTTGATCCTTGAGACTTCTTCCCCATGTCCAGCGGATACTGTGCGACAAAAACTTCCGGGAAGGCTCCTCCATCGCCAAAATCTTCCTGTCCTCGTGGACGCCAACCATTCCGTTCTCCGTAAGGCGGAGGGCCTGGTTTCTTCTGTTTGTCATCAGCCAGGCAGAAGAGAGAATTTTGAAGCTAAAGAATGCAGACCTTGAGAACAAGTTGAGACTCTTCGAGCACACCTGCACCTAGTATCCGCGGGCCGCGTTGTTGTGCATGAAGTGGAATGTCTTCTTCTTCACCAGTATATCTCGGAGATGGAAGTGATTGAGCAAGGCCTCTTGCAATAGAAGTCATATTGGTTTAAAATGGTAGTTTTTTGGCTCTGGATATAAATTTCGTTTCTTTGACCTCACCAAGCGTTACAACCGATTTAAGTTGACTGTAAGTGATAATGGAGTATGGTTCGGATTGCATGTGAAGCTGTGTCATGTTGAACAAATGTTATTATCACGTGATTTTCAGGAAAAAAGGCTATTCCTAATGAAGAAATAAATATTCAGAAATTGATCGCTATCTACGTCGAATACCCAATTTACAGGACCAACATTCTACAGCAGTCCGGTAAGGCTCATGGCGGAGGGCAAGACTGAACACCTGTAAGCGATGTCCTCTACGAACCATGGAGTGAAATATTCTCCCAGAGCCAAGTTCAATCAAATTCCGCAATACCGAACAAGTTGGCCCACGAGGCAATGATTCAAACTACTCCACCACGTCAAATCTTCACTCCCAAAGAGATCGAATCCTACCTGAGCCTCATCAAGACTCAAGTATAACCTAGTACATCCTCATTCCAATTATCATACCTTCCGTCGACTTCCTCTGGCTTCAGCCGGTCACTAAATACGCGCCCACAATGATATTTATACCCGACGGAGGACACAAAGTGTGGCGCACAAATCTGGGAGACTGTTCTTTGGGATTGGCGTGAGAGTATTCAGGAAAAATTCATAAGACGATGCATAGGATGGGTACAGTCTCGACGGGCGTGGAATTCCGAATTTTGGCAAGGAGTTTTTACAAATCGTGCTTTATGCGTGCCAAGGTTCCAGTTGCGAGAGTGCAGGCGACACTATAAACACCGCCATGGTTGGATGGTGCGGTGGTACATCGTCTTGGACGGTCTGCCAAGTAGAATCTGGAATGCTTGGACACATATCCCACTTGAGACAGTAGATCGCTGGTTAGAATCCCGCAAAACACAATCACATTTCTCGCGGTGCTGGTGTACATGGATGACGAAGGCATGCTTGGATAACCAAAGGTTTTGAAATTCCCTTTGGTGGGTACTTACGGAGGAGGGTCGACTGTGTCTGTTAGCAAGCGTACCACAGAGTGTTATTTGCAAATGAAATCCAGACAATGAGTGTCTCTAACGTCAAAAGAGTCATTCAACATGTATACATAGCACCGGTCGTGTGTCATAGCTAGATAGCTAAACACACATTAAATAATTTAAAAAATAAAGGCTCATATAGTCTATCTTTTCTCTCACTTCCTATTTATATCCTTCATATATATAAGACTGAAGCAAGACATGCGTCAGAGGATACAACCTTCAAATTAATTTCGCACATGAATATAATCTTCCAAAATAACCTTTACCATGAGCCCCGTAGCTTTTATGGTTCTGGCGTTTCTTCAGTGATATAGTAGGTGTCCTGTTTTTTTCTATCATTTAATGCGTATTCAGCTACAGAGCTATGTCACATTTTTATTGTCTAGTACATATGTAGCATGACTCTTTGGACTTCGGAAATACCCAAATCCTAGATTTCTTTCGCAAATACCACTGTAGGGTGAGGTTACGAAAACTCAACACTGGTAAGCGTTGCACCCTGCGATTATCCAGCCTACACTGTTGGTGTAAGTGTGTGAATCTGTTGTGCTACTTGAGTCTACGACTCTAACAAATTGGGCTCCTTTCTGGCCCAGGCCACATCTTGTACAGTGCTCTTATCCTCTTTTGTTACTTGAAAGTGTTGGAAATGGAGACACGGAGTGTTGTGGACGTATGGGCCCTCCATTTCGTCTAGGTTCCCGACACGATCTCGTGTATATTTAAGAGGTTGGAACAGGTAATATGGTAGCGCTTCAGGCTACCTATTGGATATATGAGCGGCTGTATGGCGTGGGCGCAAGGAGGTTATTGGGGGTTTTTCTATGCCTAGATGGCGCCACACTCGTTTATGCTGTGGCTTAGGCTCTGTGTCGCTTACACTTGTACTTGTAGCGCACACTTCCCACACTTTTAGCTGTAATCCGAACATGACACTCTTTTAGTCAACTTCTACTTTCGTTCCATGAATATTGCGCCCATTACATTGCGCGATATTTCCAACAGAAAGATCATTGATATATTCCTCTTGATGAATAGCCATTCAGCTCAGTGTTTACCCGTGGAATTCGGCCACCTTTTCCGCGGAACCTTCTACCCAAAAAAAATAAAAATGGTAGCAATGGAAACTGCGTGCGCGGGAAAAAGTCACAAATAATCTACAGCCTCAACTGGGCGAGACCTAGACACTGAGATCATATGAGATGCGCATATTCGTATTTACCTCCCTTCTTTGTAACATTCGAGGCCGACTTGATCCAACCCGCCATCTCCGTATCGGGTGCTGGGTACGCTCCGGAAACTCATCGGATGGCTTTTCCTTCATGATCAAGGGTTGGTGATGAGTAGGGCTCCGACCCTACCATCTGATCTGATCGTGGTTAGCTTCATGATAATGGTGATAGGGGAATGTGTTGAGAGATGAAGACGATATAGACCACGAAAGTGTTTGGAAATCCTCATAGAAGTGAGTACTTTGTTACTCAATCTCGGTTCTACAGACTCTACAGTGAGAGCTGGAGGTTCGTAGGGGACACCACTGACCGGTGTTGAGAATAGTCCCCCGATAAATGTATTATAAGAATCATCATTAAAACTTTCGAAATGAGAAGCATAGGGTAGGATATTTTTTCGACAGATGCCGGTACTGCCTAGGTTTCAGGATTGTTCTCCATATTGACAATAAGATTAATATTAAGTAAATAAATTTAACTCAATTATTTTTACGGACTAGGGCAGTAAGATGATGAAGGGTAGAAATATGTCACAGTAAGCTTAGGAAGATCGCAGAAGTCCTTGCCAGTAGCTGTTTGTTCACAGCGATTTTTTTCTTCGGCGAGGTCAAATATGGTGAATTAGCTTATCTGCAGCGTAGGTTTGTTTTTTTTTAAGTTCTTTTTTAATTTTTTTATTTTATGGTCCTAAGCTAAGCCCTTTATCTCCTAGGAGTCAAGGACCAGCGTACACGGCCGAGATCATGCTTCCCACATGCCCAACTCGGTCTCACCGCGTGAACCACTACACAACCAATAGCTAGTTAAAAATAAACATAAAAACACCCATAAATTCCCTTTAACAAAAAATTCCAAATGCAATACTCCAATTTGAGATGGGAAAGCAACACTTCTCGTCTCGTTTTCCTTCCTGCCATGCTTCGTGCTATGACCTAATTAATGTCCTCTCCGCTGAGAGCTGGAGACGGACTCGCAGGTTGGCCTCCGAAGCAGCCGGTTTCCTGCACAAAATATGTAAAATTCTCAAGACACCTAGGCCCGAGAAGCTTTTGGAAAAAGTCGTGATGTGACGTTGTCCCTCGAAGTCGACGCGCTTGGCGTGCGTGCAGTCGACAGTGAATAAAGTGGAGAGGCGGTGTTTCCTCCCCACACGCACACTCCATTGAAGCGGTGAAGTTATTGAAACGACGATGGCATGCAGTGAAGTTTCCGTGTCCCGTACGAGCTGAAATCAGTTTACGAAGTAGCCGCCAAGAAAGTGCCAGCTCGCGTGGCTTGCTTCGTCGCATGAGAATGCCCAGATTACGATATCTAGGTGGACATGCTTCTTTCCACCGGTCGTCAAGAAGCGTTTGCCTGTTCCGGTCCATGAGCCGATGAACGTACGCCAACGTGACGGAGCCAGGCTGGCTGTCAGGCGATGGCTCACTGGGCGCAAGACTCGAGGCGTAGGAGAGGGCATAGCGTACGATGTACTGAGGAAGGACGCCTCGTGGGAACGCGGAGGGCTTTCTAGAGAAGTGGTAAATGGGAAAGCGAGGAGTCGTTATAGATGGAGGGGCCGGATGTTACGGTAGGTAACTATGGTTAGCAGAGGACGAGAGTGAGATGTGATTAGAATAATGTAACTATTCCTAAAGACAGAAAACAAAGTGTAAAGATCTCAGTATCCGAAGTGAAAACTACATAACTATCCTCGCTAGGCAATAAGCCTAGTGGTGCTGAACAAGGAACCCATAAATCCTGCCTGAGGCATTTCTCCAGAATCCTTACACTGGCTCTCTTTACTTGGCAGTTGTCGGAGGCCTGAGCGTGCAGCTCTATCGGCCTCTTCGTTTCCCTGTATCCTGGAGTGGGCTGGTATCCACTGAACCGAGACTCGAGCCTTTTCTGATAACGCTCTAAATTGTCGCACGTCGTCGAGACTTGTTGTGGCAGTTCCCGTCAGCAGTGCCTTCACTGCAGACTGACTATCCAACAACACGTTGATCCGCCGCCTGCTGTCAATTCCACTGATCTCCCTCTCCAACAATCCCAGCGCGGCTTCCAGGGCCTTTGTTGTCCCTACAATTTCCGCATCAAGCACTTCACCACCATGCTTGATGCCGTATCCCTTCAATAGAGTCTTTCCATCCCTTGTTACGGGCCCAAGGGTGTGAATTCCCTACACAGTACTTAGGGGTTCAACATTTCATGTTGATCTTAGGAGACGCTAAGTCCCTCTTTGTAAAATATCCATGTATCATAAATCCTTCGCGACCGCGTCGTGTTTAGAACTTTTGTTATTATCATTTTAGAGAATCAGAAGAGACTTCGATAACTTCGTTTGATTGATCAATCACGACTCCATTTCGTGCCATCCCTCTTCAAGACGAAACCCCATGCTGAGCGACCATGGCCCTCCGACGATCCATCCGGGTAGGCATAAATATCCGATGCTAGTACATCTCCAAGGAACCGAGTAACCTTTACCTCCTCCTCCATCCTTGGACCGAAGCTCGAATAATAGCACGGCGGTGGCAGAGGCTCGGCGTCTTCCGCGTCCGGGAGTTGTCGGTAGGCCCGCTGTACTCGTGACATCTGGACCTCAGGATTTTTGGGTATCCGGGCAGACTTCTTGTACTTCCGTGTTCCATCGTCTGGACACACGGTGGCACGAGTCCTGAGCGGGTGGCGGTTGTCCAGTGAGTGCAGCCGAGCCGAAAACCGTAAGCGGTTCCCTT